TTATTTTTTTTTTTTATCCCTTTCATATATTAAGATATTTCAATTATTAAAAAATTACTTTTAAAATACACAGAACATCCAAATAAGCTGATAGATAAGCAACCATCTAATTCCATATAAAATCACAAATATAAATTTATGGACTCATCTCGATTTATTCAAGGTAACTTGAGATTTTGTATAATATTGGTAACGCGTTTACAAAAGTCAGCAGTGATATTTCTACCCAACACCATCACATTATAAAATTCTTTTTTATTTGTTAATGCAAAGTGCTATAAAAACATGGATAAGTAAAAAATAACACACCTCAACTTTTCATGGTTTCAATTTCAGAGTAGTTTAAACAAATTCAACTTTAGTAGATACATGTGTCTGTATAAAATATTTTAAAACGAAATACACTGAATTTTATATTAATCAATAATTTAACGTAAACGGTCCAACTTAGCAACTACTCCAATTAAAAAATAAATAAATAAATAACCTCATTAATTATGAATGGATAACTACAAATAAATATAACGGACCCGGTATATATAAATCTCATTAATTATGCATGGGCTAGCAACCATCTTTCATAAATGCAAACAGTATCCGGTGGACTTTAACAGTTAGCAATCTTACCGGCAAACACACCACCAATAATTGTTAAATCTTTATATATTTATATATATATATATTTTATGACAAGAAATATTAAATATTAAATTAATAATTATTTAAAGTCAAAATTTGACACACTAAAATTTATAAAAATATTAATTTATCAATTGAAACTATCAAGGTAAGTGCGTTTTCACTTTTGTTTTGTATATATTTTTTTTAGGGCCTACATTTTGTCATCTAACCTTTTTTTTTGTTTTTTAGGACATTAAAGAACATGCATATGTAAGAGTGCGTGTCTTAAAATTATTGCCGGAATATATCTATCAATAGGGTCCCATTCTATATATGATCTGTTCACACACACACACACAGACATGTATTCTACAGCTTCCTGAAAAATATTCCACGTTCCAAAATCATCACACGCCTGAGAACATTAAACCATGTTTAGTGAAACAGGTTGATCATGTTCTACGAAAGTTGCCCATAAATTGGGTCAATGTACAGTAAGTCCGACTAAATCGTCCGAACATGGTGTAAAGTGACCCTTCATGAGAATAGAGTAAAATTCGAGTTTTCAATGACTAATGCGACCTCAAGGATTTGTTTGCAATCAAGGGGTTCGAACTTTTAATGTACTCAAAGCTTTACAAAACACCTTGTCTAAATAACTTACCACTTTTGAGCTAAACCTTTGGACTTGAAGCAAAGTTTTGATACTATAATAAATGTTATTTGCTCTCTGAGTTGAAACTATTTAGAAAATGAATTCAACAATATATAACGAGTTTCAATATCCTAACAAAACAAACCAAATCAACATTTAATATTTCGGAATGTTAGAAGGACAAAACCAAAATAATATTTTAAATTTATGTCACATATTATGAAAAAGTTATTTGAGTGGATACTTGACACTCTTTTTTCAAAATTAAGAGTATAAGACAATCTATTTTAAAAATAAAGAATCATCGTACAAGTTACACATACTACATGAGTGTAAAGTGTAATTAACACACAGATATATATATATATATATATATATATATATATAATAAAATTGTGGGTTGGTATGGGTTCAGACTTATTCAAGGCAATTGGGATGTGTGGAAATAGTTTGTTCACACATTTTTCAGATTTAATAATTATTAAAGGAAATTGGGATGTGTGGAAATAGTTTGTTCACACATTTTTCAGATTCTCAGCGATTCACTTGTCGTTTGTACCACCATTTTGTGACAATTTGGCCCTATTAATAAAGAAATTGACAATTCAACAAATTTAGTAAGTCTCAAGATTTGTAATTGAATGGAGTAAAGAAATTGACATGCAATTCAACAAATTTAGTAAGTATCAAGCTTTGTTATTTAATGGATTCTGTATCAGAGGAATTGGCATTTAATCCACCGAATACTTCTCTATCAATTGAAATAGTTTTATAAAGGACTTGGATCAGGTACAGTTGCAACATTGTTTTAAATATTAGAGATTACATTTCTTATATTAAGGCATTGCATAAACTCTTAAGTGCAATACAACACTTGTATTATATGACAGAGGATTCAAGTTAATTGATAAATTATGTAGTTTTGAGTATGTTTTTTACACCTGAAATTTTGGAGAAGAGGTCAGGGTTAGGGGTGTACACGGATTGGTTAGGTATGATTTTGTCAGGAATCGAAACTGGTTACAATAGTTTCTTTAAAATAGAACCGAAATCAGAACCGTGTGTATATGGAGTCGAACGGACATTCACAGTTCGGTTCCACGAAACCATTAACTGAAGAAGATGAGCCGTGTTGTACTGTTACTGACTTCAAGATATGCAAATCTCTTTTGAGGATGTCGACAGAAGATAAACCTCCACGAGCAAATAAGATAATATCATCAGCATGAGTATAAAATTTTGGTATTATAGTTTTTATAAACCTTGGTATATATTAAAAAATCAGTACACAAAAATAATATTTTAGTATATTATCATATTATAGCAGGATTTGAACTGTTAGAAAATGAAAAATAAAACAGATAAAGAAAATATTATACTTTATATAATATAAATACCAAAATATATTTTAGATGCAGACTATTCGGTAAATTGCATTCCCTCTAGCTTTAGAGGTTCCATTTGACTTCAGTAGTATACTTACTAATTACTTTATTGACGGTATATAATTAAATATAAATATATAATATAATTAAATATAATATTATAACCAACAAGCCAGTGACCTAGAAATATTAGTCTCTCACTTTCCAAAGGAACAACTGCTTCTACTTTGTATATTTTTGTTTATGGAAATGTATTACGAAACGTATTTGATAACGTTTGTTGTAATTTGAATAATATTAAAGTGTTTTCGAAAAAGAGGCCAAAATAAAAAGCACTAAATAAATACTTTCGATTTCTTACAAAGTGCCCTGGTTCACCAAAAAATAATAATCTAAAATAATATTTTTAAATAACCATTTAAATTTTAAAACTTGAACACTTTTTAGAAACACATGTTTTTGCGTACAAAAATTTTGTAACGAATATATGTTACTAAACGTTTCAAATACTATTGAACACAAATCGAACAGAAATATTAGTTCTACTACATGTTAAAGTAAAAGTACAAGTACAAAACAATTCTGATTGCCAAACGGCCTTAAATTTTTCTGTTTCAAGAATTTGTATTGCAATATATCGATAATTTGAGAGATTTTTGCAATTTGCTTTAAAAAGTACTAGTATGTACCATTAATACTGAAAAAAAATAAAATAAAGGTGGACTGGTAATAATTGCATGAAGTAGCATTATTTTAATTTTTTTTATAGAAAAATTGTCATTCTGTCAAGGAAGGTCTGAGGTGAAAGACAGAATAAAACTGATCCTGTACGTTGAAAGACAACACGGTAAAGAAAGGAAAAAGCAATGAAAGAAAGGCTTAGGTGCATGCGCATTCATATAAAACTGATCCTGACCGTCCTTTCCTTTGTTCTCGTGATCACCGATCACGTGATTGTTCATTGTTACTGATGAGTTCCGAATAGACGTCAGCTTTTTATTACAACGAAAAATTTGGGATACATTATTACACGGTCTTCGAGTCAATCACAATAATAATAATAATAATAATAATAATAATAATAATTTTTTATTGTGATTGGTGGGATTATTAATTGCCTATCTTTTGTAATTTTTAGTTCTCCATGATAATTGTTTCATTTCAAAACCTAATTTTTAGTTCTCCATAAAAATGCACTATATTTTGTTATAATTTTAATTTATCCTCATTATCTTGAAAAACATAAACATTATTGTAAACTACATCAATTCAAAATAAAGATAAATTTTAAAATTCATTCTAATAAAGAAAATATTAAAAGTCCTGTACTCTTAAACTGAAATAACGAGAGTAATATGACTTTCTTGGTTTGTAATTATAAAAATAGTTTTTTATTTTCGAAAAATTGAAAAGAGAAAAACACACAAAATTTTTTGCTTGATTAAGTTTTTTAAAAATTATTTTCTGAAAATTCAATTATAAAAATATTTATTTTCAGATAACAGTCTTTTGTAATTCTCTAAAAATTGTTATCTATTTTCTAAATTTTTGAGAACTATTTTTAGAGTTACAAATCAAGGATGTTTATAATTTCTGTCATTTTATAATTTAATTCAAAATTCTTTAATTTTAAAAGACTGATTCTTTAAAATGTTGACGCAATATGTTTTTTTTCATCACATGTACAAAAATGTGATATATGAGAAAAAGATGGTATGTGAGTCAACAAAAGTGATAAAACAAAATTTAAATATCTTTATCCAAATTAAAGATAGTAGTAAATATACTTATACGCTCATATAAATTATTTTTTACCGTGAGAAAGTGACACCCGAGTCCAAAAAAAAGAAAAAAGAAAAAAAAAGTAGCAAGCATTTGTAAAAATTGGCTCCACAACAGGAACCATACAATCATTGCACAAAAGTATTATTATCATATTCGGGAGTTGGGCCAGTATCTCACTGCTATTTGACTGTAACTAAAAATTATATGAAAACTATAATAAGACAGTTTTTATCACTGTCTTAAGGTTTAGCCAAGTATTGGAATAACGTAAAAAACTTAGTACAGTTTTATCATTATTTATATATATATTTTAAAATATACTTACACCCTCATAATCTCAGGATTTGAACCTCCACCAAGAAAAAGTACCATTAAACTGTATTTTTGTATAATACGGAAATAATTTTTTATAATTAACCCAATGAAAAAATAAAGAAACGTCTATAATGAACGTGGCACATGTATTGTGATTGGTGGTAACACGTGCTTCACGTGCCACATCTCGGAAAAGGGCTCCGTCGAATGCGCGTAATTTGATTTGGACTCGCTTCACCTACTCATTTGTTTAAAAGCTGATGCTACTACATCGACTGGTGTTGTACCAATTGATCGAGTTCATTCACACCACCACACCCCACTCCACCGCCGTGGACGTACCGGCGGAGGAGTTTCTCTGGTGGTGAAGTGGTTCTACTCTTTTGACTATATAAACTTGTGATCTATCTGTTCCTTTTGTTGAGATATATATATAGTACGCGCGCGTAGCTTACCTATATATATATATATATATATGGGGTCTGGACAAGAAGACGTTCATCAACCTTTGTTACAACCGACACCATCACCACGACCACCGCGATTGTCATCGTCGTCATCATTGTCACACGATGAGAAACACTACGAGTTAAGCAATGAGCTGGAAAGGGTACTGTCCAACACAAGTAAAACGCTGGTTCAGCGGGCGGTGGCCGGGACATGGATAGAACTGAAGCTGCTGCTCGTGCTGGCTGCTCCAGCTACTGCTGTTTATTCCATCAACTACGTGATGTCGATGTCCACGCAGATCTTCTCCGGCCATCTTGGAAATCTTGAGCTCGCCGCAGCCTCCCTCGGCAACAATGGCATCCAAACCTTCGCCTTTGGCCTCATGGTATGTACTCATCATCAATTGTCTCCCACTTTTTCACCAAAGGTCAGTTTTGTCTCCGATCACTCCAGATGGGTATGATCACTTTCTTGCCAAGAAAAAAGTTACTTATTTATTTTTTTCCACACACGTATTTACAAACACCGTTTTCTTAAAAATTTATTATATGAACTTGGGCCAATTACCATTTGATAACGAAAAATGTGTAAGTTTTATTTAATTTTTTGCTTACATATTAAATAATGATTGCTTAAAACCATATAATGGTTTCTAGTTCGCTTTGTTCATTTTTTTCAGAGTTGGTATTGACTTTGATCATATAGACTATATAGTCCTATATATAATAATTTATCATGTTTGTAAAAGGTAAAAAAAAAAAAATTAGAAGTAGAAGCTCCATTTTCTTCATTCTATCCACGTTTTATTAAAGTAAAAACATGATTTTAATTTTTTGGAAGCAGTGAGAGTTGACAGAAAAGAGGGAGAACATGTGGGGTTTGCCATAACCATGGGATTTGTTCATATCCTCTCGTTTTATGTTGACGTGTTGTAGATTAGTGCTTTGAAATGACAAGTACAGTATCGGGTTGAGTCATTTAGACTTTTGGGTTGGGTCACTGACCTGACCTTGTTGTTTCTTTTGGGCCACTGCTTCTTTGTAATTATGTTTACATAAATACATTTGCTTAACGTACATTTCAAAAAAAAAAAATAATAATAATAATAATAAAATAAATGATGATAAGAAATTTTTATTGATATATATGGTGGAGTTTACTTTCCTTCACTTTTCATTTCCCTTCAAGCTTCTTCATATATATTTTAAAATACCTTCCATGCGAGGGATACACTAAAGTGAGTCTCTGATCATCTGTGTTCTACCTATACTGAGAAATTTCTTCACCTTTAACAAAACAAAAAAAAAATAAAAATAAAAATAAAAATAAAAATAAAAATTCCGTCTACTAAACACATAGGGCCATAGGCATGAGAAATCCGTCCAAATATAATCAATCTTTAAATAATAAAAGCTCCTTTTAATCGAGAAATTATTATACAAGTCTCAGAATCATTGATCACTATCCAATCCTGTACTGACACGTACTGTACTGACACGTAAGTAAATATGTTAAATTTATGTCAATTTCAACTTATTATTATTATTTTTTCTTATGTCTCAATACATGATTGATCTGTACCAATGATCTCGGACTATGTAATGATTTCTCCCTTATAATCCCTTCATTTTTATCTGTCACTTTCTTCCGTCCCTCAGGTTATCTGCTCACTTAAGTGCGGATCCAGCTACTTGCATGTATTTACAGCAATTTATAATTTTTTGTACTTGCGGCCCACAACTATTAATTATTTTTAGTGCATATGTATATGTTTATTTGCAGCTTGGAATGGGAAGTGCCGTGGAGACTCTATGTGGGCAAGCATATGGAGCCCAAAAATACGACATGCTAGGCATTTACCTTCAAAGATCAACCATCCTCCTCACCATAACCGGTGTCCTCCTCACTTTGATATACGTTTTTTGCAAGCCCCTCCTCACACTTCTTGGCGAGTCGGTCGAGATCGCATCGGCCGCGGCATTGTTCGTCTACGGCCTCATCCCTCAGATATTTGCATATGCTGTCAACTTCCCCATACAAAAATTCCTGCAATCTCAAAGCATAGTTGCACCGAGTGCATACATTTCGGCAGCCACCATAGCAGTGCACCTCTTATTGAGTTGGCTTGCTATATACAAATTTGGGCTTGGGCTTTTGGGTGCTTCTTTAGTTCTGAGCCTGTCTTGGTGGATAATAGTGGTGGGCCAAGTCCTTTACATTGCCAAGAGTGAACACTGCAAGTACACATGGGCCGGATTCAGTGTACAGGCCTTTTCTGGGCTATGGGGCTTTTTTAAGTTATCGGCTGCATCGGCTGTGATGCTTTGCTTGGAGGCCTGGTACTTCCAGATTCTGGTTTTGTTGGCTGGTCTGCTTGAGAATCCCGAGATTGCTTTGGATTCTCTTTCTATTTGGTAAGAATAGAAAAGAATCTCCCTTTATTGTTTTGTTCTTATGCATATGACCTAGGCTAATTTGGAATAAATATTGATGCACCGAGCACCGAGAGCCGTTTGTGATATGCACGCGCTGAAGTGTGTTACGCTTGCAGTGAGTCATTGGATAGTTATGGGCTATACAAATGGATCAATTTTATACAGGAAATTACATTATCCTAACCAATCATAATTTGACAGATAAAAACAATATTGACGTAGTTATATGTGTGTCTTGTGTCGAATTGGTTACAATCATGTAAAGGTGGCTTAGCTCTTTTTTCATGTCATGCGCACCAATCCATATTTACATTAATTGATTACACTAATATTTGATTTTTGATAATAATTGTAGCACCTCGGTTTTGGGATGGGTCCTTATGATCTCTGTTGGGTTCAACGCAGCTGCGAGGTGAGTTCATTCTTGCCCCCTTCTTTTACTTTTCTTTTCTAAGGAGGTTATGCCAGCTACAAACATAAAAATAGTTAAAATTTGATCAATTAATCCAAGTTGGTGTGACAACCTTTTGTGTGGCCAATTAAATAGAACGGCTCTTTTAAAAAAAATATATTCACACATGATACATGATTTTGGTGTGCGTATGAATTACATATATGTATGATTTGATTGAGCAGTGTGAGAGTGGGAAATGAACTTGGAGCGGGACATCCAAAGGCAGCTGCATTTTCTGTAGTGATGGTGACTTCAATCTCTTTCATAATTTCGGTGGTAATAGCAATTATGGTGATGGCATTTCGACATAGTATCAGCTACATTTTTACTGACGGTGAAATTGTGGCGGAGGCTGTTTCCGATATGTGTCCTCTTCTTGCTGTTACCCTCATTCTCAACGGAATTCAACCCGTCCTGTCCGGTAACCATTATTCTAGTGCTACATGAACACAATGACATTTTAGTATTATTTTTATTTGCATGAATTGCACGATTTGTTGATTTATTTCAATTCTCACCATAAAGGTGTTGCTGTTGGCTGCGGATGGCAAGCATTCGTTGCCTACGTGAACGTTGGTTGTTACTATGTAGTTGGAATCCCATTTGGTGCTGTGCTTGGATTTTACTTCAATCTGGGCGCCAAGGTAAAACCATTTTTACTGTAAAAGTAATAATTCGGTTTGTAAAAATATTTTACATGTTTAATGTAACCACCTTAATTATGACAATTAATTATGGGGACCCCATTACATCACATCTCATTATCATAATATCATGAAATTACTCTCATTATCATAATATCATGAAATTACTCTCTTTATGAATTTTAATTATAACCGTTTAATTTTATCATCGAGATTATGTGGATAAAGTTGTAGAATACTTTAATTTTTATTAGGTCATCTTTTAATTTTGAATAAATTTTGTGTGGTTTAATTTTGTAGGGAATATGGTCAGGGATGATAGGCGGTACACTGATGCAGACTATCATATTGATATGGGTTACTTATCGGACAGATTGGAATAAAGAGGTAAATTAATTCATGTAAATTATATTGATCTCTTATCCCCGATTTTCTCAAAATTACTTTTAGGCTAGGCATATGCTACTAGGAAGTCATCTAGATAAGCTAGAGTTTTATGGTCATGAACATACTGCAATATTATATTTAATACGACCCAAACACTCAATCTCTTCTTTGTAAAGTAGGTGTTAAGCATATATTGGTATTGGTAGTTGAATGTATTTGTATTTGAGGCTTTGTTGTTGTCGAATGTGAATTGCAGGTGGAAGCAGCTCTGAAGAGATTGGATAACTGGGACGACAAGAAGGAACCAATTTTGAAGGACTAAGAGAAAATTGTGGAACCACATGGCTTGACTCCCACTTCTATGCTCTTTTTTTTTTTTTTTTGGCTTTGTGTTCCATAAAGCTAGTTGCACGTGTGATTACTGCTATGGTGTCAGATTGATTTTTGATTTTAATGGATAGAGTTCAAGAAGAACTTTATGTCAACAATAAATAAAATATAATCTTTCACCTTTTAAAGTATCCTAATTAGTGTTTGATACATTTGTAGCTAGAAAAAATAGAAAAAAAAGTACATTTGTAGCCAAAAAAAAAAATCGATTACAAAATTTATCTTTTCTCCAGTTGTCGTTGATTTTTTATTTTATTTTATTTAAATTGTGGAAAGAAGAAAAAGCGATTAATCAAATGCTTTTGCCGTTCATTAATGCTTCTTTCTCTGGTGAGCAATGCCTATTTTCGCGTATATATTTATCTGAAAACAAGTTAATTTCAAGAACCCTAAAACAAAGTTTCAAAGAATTAAGCCAGAGTGCTGTCGGAAAATTTCCGGAAACACGTATTGAATGTGCATCCTTTTGTGTGTGACAATTGGGGGGATAAATTTCTCGAAGACGAGGCAAAAGAGAGTTCAAATTTTTGTTGTAGCCCATATTAATTAGATTCAAAGAATTAAGATCATACATATATGCAGACATTTGTGGGAAGTTGTTAAACTGTCAAGTCTATCATGCACATATATTCTCCATCTGAATGCCTTCAATCTCCTACATGACGACCCATTTGTTAGCTTTGTTTTTAATTGAGACTGGTGATTTACTGTACTCGTCACTTGTGCACGTTCTGGTATAAACACCACTCGGGTTTCAGGTTAACACTGCACGTTCCGTTCTTGCGTTGTCAAAACGCATGAATGTCTATTAGCTGTGCTTAAAGATACTGAAATTTCTCATGTTCATGTGAAGGTTACAATCAAACAGGTTTCTTCCATAGTGAGCGATCAATACAAAGTGAATGGAAATATCGGGCCCATATATACCGCTTGTCTGACACGTTGGTTATAGTTTCAACCAACTAAATAATTTCTATGTGAATAATAGAGAAAAATGAAGAAACAAAATTTTTTTTGTATTGTATTAAATTCTTTGTTGTGTTCATATATTTTAACAACAAATCCCTTAGACTATATATGCACTCACTTGATACATGTACCCACTTGATACATATACAATAATAGATACACGAATAAATCCAAAATGCACAATGAATATGGCATTAATTTAATTTTAACACAACCCCCTTATTGCCATATTGTGACACCCAACAATTCTCTAAAGTATTCAAACTTATTTCTCGGAAGTGCTTTGGTGAAGATGTCCGCATCTTGGTCTTCGGTCTTGTAATACTTGAGTTGAATCTCATCCTCTTCCTCTTCTTCTTAAACTTCTTCCTTGCCACTTCTTTAATTGCATTTTCAAACCTACTCCGCTCAACAACACAAAAATTGCAACTTGCATACACATCACGAAGACTTTTCATTCTTCTTGGAGTTGAACTTAGAGATGAGGAATTTGAGTTTGATGGAGAAGTTGGGACTGATTGTAAGTTAGATACGGGAGACATTTCTTGTGGAACTTCAAGAATATCTTCATTTTCATTTTCTTGATTTCCTGATTCTTCATTGAAAGTGGTGATTTGATCTTGAACTTTCTTCTCTTTCCAATCCCAAATAGCCTTCTCATTAAAGATAACATCTCTACAAATAATCAATTTATTCTTCTTCAAATTAAAGAGTCTATAGCCATTTGATTTTGGGCTATAACCCATAAAGATGCATCTTTCACTAGCTTCATCAAGTTTGTGCTCACTTCTCTTGGAACATAAGCAAAATAAATACACTCAAAGACTTTCAAGTGGTTCAATGATGACTTCCTTCAATTCCATGCTTCAAATAGAGTTTTATTCTCCACCGCTTTTGTTGGAATCCTATTCATCAAGTAAATAGCCATATACACGGCTTCACCCCAAAATGATTTAGGTAGCCCCTTCTCATAAGCCATTGATTGTCTCATCTCAACAATTGTTATATTTTTTTTCTTTCTGCCACTCCATTTTGTTGTGGAGTGTACCCAACCGTTAATTGTCTCTCCAAGCCAATATCTTCACAAAACTTTCAAACTCACTTGAGTTGTACTCTCCACCTGTATCACTTCTTAACACTTTGATAAGATGGGCCACTTTGCCTTTCAACAAGCTTTTGAAATTTTTTAAAAACAGATAGGACATTTGATTTTTTGTCTCATGAAATAAATCCATGTCATTCTTGAAAAATCGTCAATGAAAATAATAAAATACTTGTTACCCGCATGAGTTGGTGTTGTCATTAGTCCACACACATCGGTATGAACAAGTTCCAATAGTGCTTTAGCCCTCTATGCCTTTTCTTTCGGAAATGACTCTCGGTGATGCTTGCCAAGAGTATAACCTTCACAAACTTCTTTAACTTCTTATATTGTTGGCAGCCCATACACCATGTTATTTTGTTGTAAATTCTTTAAGCTTTGGAAATTCAAATGCCCAAGTCTTCTATGCCAAAGCCACGACTCATCAACAACATCCATCTTCAATGCCATTTTTTTGAACATGAAAAAGTGAGAGGAAAGCTTCTATTTTTCCCCATTTTGATTTTTGCCACAATATGATTTTGTCCTCCCTTGTCATAAATTTTGCAAGAGTATTCATCAAAATGAATAGAGTATCCATTCTCTACAAGCTGTCCAACACTTAACAAATTTTGCTCCAAATCCGGAACAAGTAACACATCCCGAATATGCTTTATTCCTTTCTTTGTCTATATGGCAATAAATAGTACATATCCCTTTGCTTGGACCAAGACACCGTTTCCCATCCTCACTTGAGAATTTGATGAAGAATCAATCTCCAAGAATATATTTTTTTATCTCCAGTTATGTGGTTACTGCTCCTACTATCAAGAAACCACACATCATCCTTTTGTTTCGATGCCGTGTGACAAGCATAAAACATGCTCGCTTCACTTTCTTGCTTTTCGAAAAAATTAGCTTGCTGATTTGTTTTCAACCGGCAATCTTTTTGAACATGTCCAAATTTCTTGCAATTGAAACATTGAGGTTTTACTTGAAACCAACAATCTTTGTCAACATGGCTACTTCTCTTGCAAATTCCATATTTTTGTTCAGTGGACTCTACATTTCCACTTCTCTCAAAAATATTTCTTTCTCTTCCTTTTTCGTGTCTTCTACCTCTAGAAGATTCACCTTTGGATCGATCAAAACTTGATGGGTATTTTTCTTGATTTTTGAAACTAACATTGAGCTTGGATTGAAAGGCACTTTCAATTGTCTTTTTAGAGTGCCTACTCAACCTTTGCTCAAACGCTTTTATGGAACCTATCAATTCTTCATCACTCAAGTTTTCAAGCTCTTTAGTCTCTTCAATAACAGCAACAATGGGGTCATATTTTTTCGACAATTCTTTGACTAGAAATATTTTCCCCATAGGTCTTCATTTGATTTACCACCTCCATAAGTTTAGAAAAATAATCTTTTAATAACTCCATTTCTTTCATCTTCATATTTTCAAAATCTCTTCTCAAAGATTGGAGTTTTACAGTTCTTACCTTCGTGCTGCCTCTATACTCTTTCTCAAGGATTTCGCATGCCTCATTTGCTTTAGAAGCATTGATAATTCTGAGAAAGATTGTATCAGCAACTCCTTGTTGAATCAAGCCTAAAGTTTTTGCATCCTTCTTATTATGATCCTTTAATTGTTGTCTTTGGGCATTCGTCAAAGTTGTTGTATCCTCCGGTTCATCATACCCATTTTCGACATAGTCCTATAAATCATATGAGAGAAAAATGGTCTTCATCTTCACATACCAAAAATCATAATTTTCCCCATAAAAAATGGGAAGTGCTGATTGATGGGCACCTTGGTTTTGATTGTTTGTAGTCGCTATCACGATCGATCTTCTTCGGGGTTTATTTTCTCGTCAATAAGCTTCACGCCCAGTTTGCTCTTAATCGAAATCAAGCTCTGATACCACTTATGTTGGCTATAGTTTCAACCAACTAAATAATTTCTATGTGAAGAATGGAAAAGAATGAAGAAACAAATATTTTTCTGTATTGTATTGAATTCTTTCTTGTGTTCATATATTTTAATAGCAAATCCCTTAGACTCTATATACTAATCTATCGTAGACCTTTAAACTTTTCAAGACAATTCTCAACCACTCACTTGATACGTTTACTCACTTGATACATGTACAATAACAGATACATGAATAAACCCAAAATGCACAATGAAAATGGCATTAATTTAATTTTAACATAACAATCATTTATTCTACATAGATGGGGTTTCACCTATGTGAAATCAGATGTCTTTGGTAATATTAAGGGCATAATACTATCTGAATCAAAATTGAGAGCACATTATGATGATATTCCATTGAGGAAGGATGGTATGGTGGATAGACGGCGGCTTGGAAACTAGTCGGTGAACTGTGTAGTTTACCGAATGACTTGATATTCCAACGCGCCATGGACAGCGTGGACTGTCTAAGTTTATCAAACTTAGACTCAAAATAATGTCAGATGTTGATAAAGATGAAACCATTGCATTAGTACTCCAACGCAAATATCTTGAAGAAATGCAGTCACTTCCTGTCTCTTCTTCAACCGCTGATATTCAAAAAGTAGCACACAATGCTTCAGAAGTTGTGGCTTGTGAACTTAAGGCAATTGGGGATCTGGTGGTGCTCTCATTCCTCCACTTGCACAATTTCTTAGTTAGAGTAATCAATCTGAGATCCGTTTGCACGGATACGAGTGGATTGATGATGAAATCATTGTTTTTAAAGGTAAGAATTTGCTTTTGCCGGCTCCACCATCTAGACAGCGCGCAACTGCTACATATCTTCCTGAGGTTGCTATTTGCTAAGGTGATAGAGTATCATCGATGCCTTCCAGCCATATTTAAGCTCTTAGACGTCATGTGCCTGCTAACCTTGTTGGAGAAGTCGAAGCATGCATTAACTCTACATGACGATCAAGTTTTCAAACGAAACATCAAAGAATGCCCTCTTTCAATCATTGAAGTCTGGTATAATTGGTACTGAGTTAATCTTTAGTCCATTCGCTCGTAATAGCTAGAAGCAAGATTCAAGAAACGAGAGTGATGTAGCAATAAAGAAGTTCAGG